CAAAGAATTCTTCGGGGCGTGGGGGAGGCCCTGCCCCTCCCTAGGCTCCCAGTGCCGAGGCCGAGGCCTAGCCCTATCGCTGTGCTTATCACTGGTGTGACCACTGTCTCTCACCACTCTGCTTGGTGGCTCCTTGAGGGCAGGGCTGGCCTCCTGGGCCAGCTCTGGACTCTGCAGACTTTCAGGTTAACTTGCTGTGATCCTGGGAATGGCTGCTCCTGGGACAATGGGCCCTGGAAGGGGCTGCCCGCGGAAGGCCGGGCACTCACCCAGCCCCCCTCCCCGCTCCCCGCAGCTACCCCTGTCCAGCAGCCACCTGAACGTGTACAGCAGCGACCCCCAGGTTACAGCCTCCCTGGTGGGCGTCACCAGCAGCTCCTGCCCTGCAGACCTGACCCAGAAGCGAGAGCTCACAGGTACCCCCCCTCTCTCCCTGTGCCCCCACCCCTGCCCCTCCTCCCTCCCCTCCCTCCCAGCTCCTCTCTCCTCTCCTGGTCTTCAGATGCTGAGAGCAGGGCCCTGGCTAAGGAGCGGCAGAAGAAGGACAATCACAACCTAAGTGAGTCCCTCGCCCCACTCTTTGCCCCTGGACTGGCTGCAAAGCCACTCCCCAACCCCTGCCCCTGACTCATGGTGGGTGGGATCCTTAGTACCTGCTGGCTGGTCCTGTGTCAGAGGGAGTGTGGGGGGCTTCAGCGAAGAAGTCATGAAATCCCCATTTTATCAGATAGCTTTCTTTAGAGCACAGAGCCCGGGACCGCACCAGGGGCTGTGTGCTGCAGCTGCGCCCCTCTCCCGGGCACTCTGCCCTCCTCTGCTAGGCGTGCTGCTCTGCCCTCCTACGCAGCTCTGGCCTGCCCGCAGCCTGACTTAGGGCTGATTTGGTCTCACCGTGGCCCTGCAGTGTTGCACCTGCGCCCTGCCCCTCTCCCGTGTAGAACCCCCCCCCCCCCGCCTGTGGGCCTCCCCTTACTTCCCACAAGGGTGAATCTAGGCTGCAGGTGGCCCCTGGGCGCTGCTCCCTGGGCTGGGTGCTCCTCTCAGGTGGAGCCCTGTCCTCTGCCTGACTGCCCCTTTGGGAATCTGTCCCCTCTAGTCGAGAGGAGGCGGAGGTTCAACATCAACGACCGCATCAAGGAGCTGGGAATGCTGATCCCCAAGGCCAACGACCTGTGAGCAGGCTTCTGGGGGGAGGGCGGTGGGGGGGCAGGCGGCAGCTGGCAGGTATTGTTTGCACGCAGCCTCATGCTCCTCGCTGGGGGGAGGCAGTCCCTTCTAGCAGCCCTCATCAGCTATTTGAAACAAGATCCCACCCTCTCCCAAATCAGAAACTCCAACAAATGAGCTCTGTCCCAGAAGTGAGGCTGGGAGGGGAGGCTTCCTGGAGGAGGAGTCACGTTGGGAAAGTTTTTTCAAAAGTATTGGGTTGGTGGAGAGGAGAAAGTGGTGGAGGGGTAGGGGTGATGAGAGCCAAAGGTAGGCTTCGGTTTGGGCCCAGAATGGAAAAGAGGCTGCTCCAGATTGCTTGGGCCAGGCGGTGGCACTGAAGTTCGGGGAGGGCCCGTTCCGAGTGGGCGGAGATCGACCCCCAGAAGGAGGAGGTGGCTGGCTGTGGGGTGGGTGGGCGTGGGTGGGACAGGTGGCACAGGAAGGCTTTCCCCCCCAAGGCCACTCCCTTGCAGACGCCTTCAGCCCTGGCAGCGGCAAGGGCCTGGCCACTCCTCTGAGCCTGTCTCTGGGACTCTGCCCGGTCTGCTGTAGGGACGTGCGCTGGAACAAGGGCACCATCCTCAAGGCTTCGGTCGATTACATCCGGAGGATGCAGAAGGACCTGCAGAAGTCCAGGGAGCTTGAGAACCACTCTCGGCGCCTGGAGATGACCAACAAGCAGCTCTGGCTCCGCATCCAGGTCTGGGCCTGCCCCTGGGACTTCTCGGGTAGCTCTGACCCCTGACCCCAGCCTGGCTCCTGACCTGAGAGGCAGTCCTTTCACTTTTGAGGTTGGAGACATGGGAATGATGCCCGTGAGGAAGGAGGGTGTATCTATCAGGACGTGACGCCCTGGTAACAAACAGTCTCTAGCACCTGCCAGCAGCAGATACGCTAGCAGTTCTGTCCCGGGAGACCCTCATTCTGGGGCCCAGGCTGACAGGTCAGCACACTGAAAGCTGCTCTGTGAGTCACGTGTCACTTTTAGGTGCCACATGTCACTTCTGATCACATGTGCTTGGCCAATGCAAGTGCCCTTTACCCTGAACCTCAAGGGGCAGAAAAGCACAAAGCCACCTTGGGCCTGGGAGGTGGAGAGCTGGAACCATTTAAGTAGTGCCAAGAACCGCCTCAGGGTCAAACAAAAGAACCAGGGCTGGAGTGGTCAGTCCTCCGGGCTGCAGACACCAGTTCTGGTCCTGGTTCTGAGGAGAGCCTCTGGTCCCCTCAGGACCTGAAGCTGGCCCTCTGTACAGTGGTGGTTAGACTGCAGTTTCTAAGATCTCTTTCTCATGGTAGGTGGAACTGACCACACACATGCCCAGTGCGCACGGATGCTCTCCCAGTGCGAAAGAACACTCCTCCTTAGTGGATGCGATACATTCTGATCATTGCTATATCAGCCTCGTCTAGACAAGTCTATTTCAGCAAAAAAAGAGAGCGCTGGTCAGGACTCACTCAGTGGTTTTATGGCCCACTGATGAGTTACAGCTTACAGCTCGGAAACACGTCTAGACGTAGAGCCACCCTACGTGTTCTTCCAGCTGAGACGTCTCGGGTGCCGTAGGGAAGGGGCAAGTGCCATGGCAGGACCAGGTGGGATGCCCGTGGGTGTGTGTCCCCAGCCCTCCGTCTGCCCCTTTGCAGGAGCTGGAGATGCAGGCTCGCGTGCATGGCCTCCCCACCACGTCCCCGTCGGGCATGAACATGGCGGAGCTGGCGCAGCAGGTGGTGAAGCAGGAGCTGCCCAGCGAAGAGGGTCCAGGAGAGGCTTTGATGCTGGGGGCCGAGGTCCCTGACCCCGAGCCACTGCCGGCTCTGCCTCCCCAGGCCCCGCTACCCCCGCCTGCCCAGCCACCGTCCCCATTCCCTCACCTGGACTTCAGCCACGGCCTGAGCTTTGGGGGCGGGGGTGACGAGGGACCCCCAGGCTACACCGAGCCCCTGGGGCCAGAGCATGGCTCCCCGTTCCCCAACCTGTCCAAGAAGGATCTGGACCTGATGCTCCTGGACGACTCCCTGCTCCCACTGGCCTCTGACCCCCTCTTCTCCACCATGTCCCCCGAGGCCTCCAAGGCCAGCAGCCGCCGGAGCAGCTTCAGCATGGAGGAGGGGGACGTGCCGTGACCCTGGCTGCCCTGTGCCCGGGAGCTGGGAGGCCGGGGCACCCCTCCCACCCTCCAGGCTGCTCTGCTGTGTGAAGTAGCCACCTGCCTGCCTCACTCCTCCCTGCCGGCCCCCAGTTTGGACTTAGCACCCGCCTGGCAGCCCGTGGGGTCAGGAGAAGCCCCCACCCTCCGGCACCCTCTCCATGGGCCGGTGGGAATAGGAGGTGAGATCCTGAGGGGGAGGTGAGGGGACAGAAGCCGAGGTCCTGGGGGAATGCCTATCTTCTGAGGCTGATCCCCTGCCGCCAGTGAAGGACAGGTTGGACCCGCAGGGGGTTCAGGAAGCTCCTTCTCTGAGGCAGCACTGGTCCGGGGTGCCCAGGACTGCCCTTCTGGGACTCAGATGGCCACGAGGCTGGCACTCCCCTTTGGTGCTAACAGCCCTCCACCAGGTGGTGGGAGGGTGGGGTGGCAGGAAGAGGGGGCTGAGTTCAGGCTGGAGAGCAGCTCCCGGCCGATGTCCCTCCGTGCCTTTAGTAAACACTGTGCTTTGTACCTGCTGGTCCTGTCTTTTTGGATGGGTCTAAGACTGACCGAAAATGGGAGGATTCAACACAGGGGCCCCTGTCTAGATCCAGAGTTCGGGTGCTCCCTGAAGGGGGCCGAGAAGTGGGTACAAAGAAGAGGGAACAAGCTGGTCACCTGGCCACCCCAACTCCTTAGCCTTGTCTTGGGAAGGCTGGGGATGGAGCCCTCCTGGCGGGGTTTGGGCGCCGGCGGGCCGTTGTTCCTCCTCCTGGCCACGAGGTGGCGCTGCAGCCACGCCAGTCCCACACCTGCACTGGCCTGTGCCCGCGGGGTGGGAAACCGGGTGCCGGGATGCTCGGAAGCCCAGTTTGCCGTCCTGAACTGCTTCGTAGAGGCGCCCTCGGGCCAGGCTGCTGTTCCCCACACCCAGTTCCAGAGGGGACCTCTCCAGATTAATCCCCCTCCCCCACAGCGGGTGGGCGGAGAGTCAGCTTGAAAAGCTGGAAGCAAGGCTTCCTGGTAACGGGTGCGTTCCTCTCCGGGTTTGGGGACGGGGCCCATGGGGACGAGGTTGCATGGGGCACGTCTATTCCTCCCCCCCCCCCCCCCCCCCC